CCACTTACTCAGTCAGAAGAGATGGTTGAGGCTTTTTTTAAAAAACAACTCACAAAATCATCCAAAGTGCAAGATTTGGTGGTGAGGGGGGATTTCAACTATCAAGAGGTATGTTGGGAAACTAACACAGCAAGGCACAGGTTATCCAATAAGTTCTTGGAGACAATTTTTTATTTCAGAAGATTGATGTAAGTGGGGGAATGGTCCTGCTATTGTGGGGAACTTTCCTGGCTTCTATACTACCCTAGTGAAATGGACCAGAGAAAGAATCTGAGTTCCCGCTCCCACTTCTTTTACCCAAAGGCCTCTCTGACCCTGAGGGCTCCCCTTCCACTCTCCTGAGTTAGCAGAGCTCTCGAAATCCCAACAAGGCTGGGCCCAGGTGTTCTGGGGCTTAGTCCCCAACCTTGTAGTCACTTGGGGCAGAGGCTAGGGTGTCCCCACTCCGGGGTGCTCTCTTCACACTGCATGCTTTCTTGATCCAGTGATCGTTACATACAGTTCAAAGCAAATACTATTTATTAAACAGCAACTGATTAAAAAGAAAATAATAAGGAAAAAATGAGAGAGGTTAAATGAGAACACACAGTCCTGCTCTGTAGCACGGGGACATCACAAACAGCAGTCTGCAGAGTGTAAGGACAGTTCACAGTCTGTTCTTTATAGGTTCCAGGGCTCTTTCTCAGGCCCTGGCTGTGCTGCCAGGAGGGTGGAGGGGGCTGCAGGTTGAACATGCTTGCTCTGGCAGTGACCACATGACTTCAGGGTTCTAGGTGGCAGGACTCCTCTCCCAGTTGGAGTTACAATCCCTCTCCAAATCTGGCCTGCAGGGCCTCTTGGCTGGTGGTGTCTGTCTGCCCAAAGCTTCTCCCCCCATTTTGCTGGTGCCCTGCTCACCACACCCAGCTGCAGACTGTGCTGCTTTGCCAGCCTCCAGCTCCTTGTGTTGCTTCTCTGACCCCTTTGGCTCTCAGGTCACTGCAGGTCTGCTCCTTGGGCTGTGTGTGTCTGACTCTGTCATTGCAGGTCTGCTTCTTAGCACAGGGTCTGCGCTCTGTGGGCTCTATGGGCCTCTGGCTCTGACACTGCAGGTCTGCTTCTTAGCACAGCTTGCTCTTGCTGCTCTTCTTAGCTCTTTCTCCTTTTCTCAGAGAGACCCAGAAAATCCCAGCTCACACGGATGATGGGACCTGGCCTCCTCAATTCCTCACTGGCCTGTCCAACCTGTCAATCAGGCTGAGCTGGAGTGTTGGCCTATTTCCATTGTCTCTGGGGTCTGTCAGTCTCAGGGCCCTTATTTCGCATGGACCCTTCCCCTTTTGGTACTGGGAGCTGGCCAACCGAAAGCTCCCACTGAGTTTTAGTAAGGGGCTAACATTCCCCTTACATTGAGAAAGCTACAAGGGGTGAAGCTGTTCTAGATTGATTTTAACAAATACGGAATAACTGGTTGAGAATTTGAAAGTGGAAGGTAGCTTGGGTGAAAATGATCATGAAATCATAGAGTTCATGATTCTAAGGAATGGTAGAAGGGAGAACAGTGCCCATCTATAAAAAGGGAAATAAGGAAACTACTTTCTTTGATAGGATATCAAGCCTTCTGGATAACTGTTCTCAGAGATTAGTTATTAACTGTTCACAAGAGAGTACAATTATTAAGTTTGCAGATGATACCAAGCTGGGAGAGGTTGCAAGTGCTTTGGAGGATAGGGTCAAAATTCAAAATGATCAAGACAAACTAGGGAAATGGTCTGAAGTAAACAGGATAAAGTTTAGTAAGGACAAATGAATTCCACTTAGGAAGGAACAATCAGTTTCACACATACAGAATGGGAAGTATTTGTCTAGGAAGGAGTAATGGTGAAAGGGATTTGGGGGTCATAGTAGACCATAAGCTAAACATGAGTCAAAGCAGCAGTGCTGTGTAGAGTCTGGGGCCAGACCCCAGGTTCCATGTGGCACTGCCATATTGAAATTCCACATGCAGCCCCGGGGTCAGCTGTGAAACCTCAGCTGGACTGGGCTACACGCAGCATTTCAAAATGGCAGCATTGCATGGAGCCCAGAGTCAACGGGGGAGTCCCCAGCTGACCCCGGGCTCCATGCGGTGCTGCCGCTTTGAAATGCTGTGTGCAGCCTGTGGGTGCCAGCTGGGAATCCTGGGCTGCACGCTGCATTTCAAAGCAGCAGCGCTGCGTGGAGCCTGGGGTCAGCTGCTACACTTCAAAGGTGGAAGCGCCCTTATCGACTAATTTAATAGTCGTTGCAAATTGCATCAACTATTTGATTAGCCAAATAATTTAAATTTTACATCCCTACTTATGGGAACAAATAAATAACCTTTTCTTGTTCTCTTTCTCCACCACCAGTCATGATTTTATAGACCTCTGTTGTATCTCCCCTTACTTTCCTCTTTTCTAAGCTGAAAAGTCCCAGTCTTTTTAATCTCTCTTTATACTTATAGTTGCCTCAGAAATATCTCTTTACGCCTGCCACGTTGGAGTAAGCCAAATGCTTTGTTGCCAATGGATTTGTGGCAGTCTGGGGTGACCAGATTCCATAGAGCTATAACAATCCACTCCTGAACTGACAAGAGTGCCCTTTTGCATAAATCTGTCTTCATGTTGGAGGGTTGGGGCAAGCTATTTGCAAACCTTCAGAAACGCTTTTTCATACAAGCAGCCTGAAGCCCCTGAGGGTCATCCCAGGTCTGTGTGACATGGTGATCCTACCAGTCTGTGCTTGTGGTCCTGCACCACAAGTGTCAGCTTATGTAGGGGACATCAGCAGCTATACCAAGCGTAGTAAGCAACATCAGGCAGTCTGCCTTGCCTGGGTGCTCCTCATCCTTTTCTATTTGAAGCTCTGTTAGGTGCCTTTGGTGCATCAGAAAACCTTGCTGAAATGTCCACCAATGTATCATGGAAACTGCCTGTTTCCTGACATAGGAACAAAAGTGCAAGCAAGAGAACTTCTTGAAAAGGGAGTTCTTTTCTGTGGTTTGGCAGGATGTGCTGGGGGGCTGTTCAAAATTGCAGGAACTTGCAGAGTGATTAGTAGAGTTTTTCCTGAGTGCACCCCTACCAAAAGGCTAGAGCTGCTCCATATTGGGATGGAGCTAGGAAGTCTAGGATATGGTTATTCTGACGTGGGTCTATGTGCTACTGTGTGGAATTCAGAGCCCCAGGTTCTAGCTTGGGTTAAAAAATGCTTAATGTAGTAGTAAGAATTTACCTAGAAACTTGAGCCCTGGGTTCTCAAACACAGAGCAGCTAACTCAAGGGTTAGTGCAAGCATCAGTAGTAATATAGTCATGGTAGGACTGATAGCATTGGCACATCTAAGCCCATGTGGCAGGGCTTGTGGCAGAACCCAACGGCTGTGGTGGGGCCAGGTGACAGGACCTAGGTAAAAATGGTTAATTGGTTAAGCACTATAATTTAACAAGTTCCACTGTTTTAAAATCTCTAGTTCCACGTCTTTCCCCTTTAGGGGTTGTCCATAAACAAACCACAGGCAATTTACAAAAATAAACTATACTACTAGGTGAAAGTACGGGGGAAAGCTTCCCTTTTCATGTATAACAGAACCTGGTCCTTCTTTCCCTCAGGGAGGAACCTTTAAGAGGTTGTTGGGAGAGAGATCCTGCCTTCCATCAGCCTTTTTCTCAGAAGCTAAAAGTTAAAAGTCCGGTCTCATCCCTGGTTTGCTCACACATGAGCTGTTCTGCTCCCTTTTTAACTTTTCCTCCAGCCTGGGCATCTGTTGTATCTTAGTGGTGGGGCAGGGCTGGCTGAGCCCAAAACAGCTTCTTACCCTCTGGTGGCCCAGTATGGAGTTTGTGTACTCCCTCTCAGAGTGACAATATATTTGTGGACCTACCGCTGCTGATCAAGCTGAGCAACTACACACCAGTCAGAGAGACACTGGGGGGGTGCTTGGGTCTCCAAAGATCCTATTCACCTGCAAAAATCTAACAATGGGTAAGCTGCATCTTTAGAAAACCAATTTTAGCTGAGCTCTTCAGGAGGGAATAGAAAGGCAGGAATGGTGTAAAGTTACCCAAAAAGAGCAGAGAGAAGTCCAGGTGGATTTAGTGAGCCAAACTGGGAGAGAGGGAGCTGACGGGAAGAAGCAGAATTTGTGGAGCAGGAAAGAGCAAGGTCAAAGAAGCTGGGAAGGGACACAGCTGATCTCTCCCCCTCATTACCATGCAACAACCTGCTGAGGCAGGGACATCTTTCCTGCCTGCCTTCCTGGTAGGACCACACAGCAGAAGAGGCAAAAGAGTCAATTTGCTTTATGCCTTCCCCATTTGGGAGGTCCCCAAACCTAGGGAATTTGAATGAGCGGCACAGTATCACAGCACACCTGAGTAGGCCAAACCTGAGTGGCACCGCAACCCCTTGTGCTGGGTTGCTATGGCCAGACTGGGGAACTGAGGGCAGAATCTGACACTGTAGGAGAGTGGGGGTGGGTTTGTTTTCCAAGCCATTCTCCCTCACTCCATCAGGGCCTCTTTGGTTTCCATAATTTTTTTTTAAGAGGGGTATGACTGTTTCAGATTTAGCCCCAGGCTCTCCAAAACCTCTGTGCATCCCATATGGTTCTACAAGGACTCTCAAGCAAACAGTGTGATAGAAAGTGAGGGGTATTACGGTTTTAGGTCTTGGTTTTGTATGACCCGTGCTTTATATGATTAAGTACATTTTGGAGAGGAGTAAGTGACTAAAAGCCAATGCACAGGAACCTAGAGGCTTAACATACCGCAGAGGATTCAAAACACAAACACATGGATTCCCCTCACGGAAGTCCTAGAGGGTGACTGTGAAGGAGTATGCACAAGGTTACATGACGATAGGTAGCTTGAAAGTAGTACCTCCTATAAAATGTATGTCCGTGTGACCCTCTTCATGTCATACATGGCATTGTGTGATATACAAATAACATGGGGTTGTCTACTAGTTACTAGTCAGATGGCTAGTTACTGGTCAGGAATCCAGGGTATGAATCTGTTTCACAGCAGCTTGTCCATACAGTAACATCTCATGTGGACACTGCTATGCTGTGGACAGTGCAAGTTCTAGAGTGTAGTGGGCTTACTATTCTTTTAAGTAGCCACATTCTAGAGCTGTGAGTACACAATAGCAGTATCCACATGAGACAATGCTGTATGGCAGACTGATGGGCTGTAGATTCACTCCTTGGCTTGCTGCACAATAACTTACAAGCCCTGTAAATGGTGTTGCAACTATGTTGGTCCCAGCATTTTGAAGAAACATGGTGGGTGAGATATCTTTTATTGAACTAATTTGATGAGAGAGACAAACTTTTGAGTTCTTCTTCAGGTCTGGGAAACTGTCAGAGCTACATGCAAGATGCAATAGATTATTTAGCATAAATAGTTAACACTTTCAAAAGATGAACCTGGGAGCTTAAATTCATAATTTTGCTAGATGCTGAAGTCACCATAAAATCATGGACTAAATAGAGATACCGTATACATGACACATTACAACAATCTGTAACCTACTAACAGGCCCTCTACTTGTCTTTCCTCCCCCACACCCTTGTATTCGGGTTCATGACTGGAGGGGTGTTAACAGGCCATTTGACCATGAATGGTGCCTTAATACATCTTTCAACTATTTATGCTAAACAGTCTCTTCCATCTTGTATTTAGCTGTGACTCTGAGTACATTTCATAGACCTGAAGAAGAGCTTTGTGGAAGCTTAAAGGCTTGTGTCTCTTTGTCCCCCTATCTCTCTCTCAATCTAAACCCAGTGGTAAGCATTTAAGGCCCAGTCCTTTTGAGGCACTTAGCACCCTAAGCTCCTGTTAAGCTCAACAGAAGTTGAGAATACTCATCATCTCCCACAGTGAGGCTCATGAACTACTATAATATGTTGTTTGTTTGAATATCTATCTTTATGCATGTTTTTGCCTTTTCCCCCCCAGTGAGTTATAGATTCATAATAAAATGGATTGAAAATACATTCAAAGAACCTAGCTCTGAGCCAAATTTGGATTTCTTCTCAGTTTTCATGCATTGTGGTCCTACTGAGACAACAGTGCTTATGATGAAAAGTGATGAAGCGGAGCAGAGGCTGTAATGGGAAGCAGCATACATTACTCAAGTTTCCAGGATAAGTAATTTTTATCTCTCCTTATTTTTGGGAAATGTTCACATTTTTTTTCAGGGTTGAATCACCTTAGAGTATTTGACTTTTTACCGGTGCTTAATTAGGACTGTGAAGTGGGGAAGGGAAATGTAGAAATTAACTGTTTGTTTTTTCCAGTTTGTTGTTGTAAATGCAGGGGAAAGGATATGAAAAGCTCTACCGATGAGGAAGTTTGCAATGCTGTGATTATGATTCTAAATAAGGGTTATGTAAACTCTAGACATCACTTTGTGCCATCCAATTTTAAAAAATAAAGCTGCTGGGAGAAGTGGGTAGGTAGTAGCAGGTTAAAAGCAATACAGTCAAATGCAGAAGTATGTACAGAGTACAGAGATTTACTCCTACCTTCAATCCCAGAGATGAAAGACTGCTTTAAACTATTCTACTCTGAAGTCTATTGTGTATAGAAAAAGAAAAGAAGACTTCTTATGCCTTAGTACAAAGAGTCCCTACATTTTTAATTCCCCCCCCCTATGATTCAAGGGATTTGCTTATAAGAATAGAAACATCCACAGAAACAACTTTTATTTATAATATCATACAGTCAGTCTGAAATAATTACAGTGAATACGCTCTGTTTCCAGCACTCAGAACTTGCATTCATTCCATGCTTTTTTGCACCCAAATCCCAAAAAGATAATCCCTCAATGTATTATGCTTCATTTCTTTTTGAGTTCATCCAACAGTGTCTTTTGTGAGCTTCATTAGCAATTATTTTAATATAATATGTGAGCCAGTTCAACGAAAGATGCTAAGTAAATTGACACACATGTTGAAGAATAATACATTTAAACTTTATTCACTAGATGGTATTTTATCATAATAAATTAGATGTATACAATGATATTTTGTTTTAAAGTTTGACCTCAAAAGTTAAATATTTCCCCCCTGACTTTTATATAGAAAAGAAGCCTCTAACTTAGTTTTTGATAGAAGCACATGGATTCTGCATATTTATTTTGTATTGAAATGTTTTAAAGGATTTTAATAAATGTAGGCCATAACATTATATTCAGATTCAAGCAGATTTATTTATTGAAAAGTATAACGTTGTTATTTAGCAAGATAAAAAATCCTTTAAAAAATTTTGTTTTCGAATAAATTCGTCTTTTTTAGATCCATCGTGGGTCTAACTATGAGGGACCGCACCATTCAGTTTCATTTAAGCACCCAGATGACAATTTGAACCTTTCCCATCCTTCTGGGTCACATGGCCTCATGGACCTACCTGCACCCTTCACAAGACTTCATCTTCAGTGTCTGTAGGCCTGATTATGGGCAGTTTACATGCCAAGCAAGCACAATGTGGACAAACTAATCTCACTCCACTCCACTCTGTTATCTTTCTCGCTGAAGAGAAAGCAGGGAGACTGTGTGTATGGGGGGGAGGGCCATTCATCCCTCACCTCTCACAAAAAGATTGATTACAGACACTTCCCTATTAGTGTGGGGAGCCCATCTGCATAGGGTAGATGGACCACTGAGAATTCCAGTTGGACATAAACCTTTTGGACCTGTGCAAAGTATGCAAACCTGTAAATGCCTTAGTACAAAGAGAGTACCTAACTTTTTAAATGTAAATGGCTTCCTGACATTTATTTGGACTGTACATATTGCAGGCATGTTGGATAATAATTTATTTTATCAAAAAAGATGGGGGATCAAGGTCTATTGGTCTTTGCATCAAATTTGTCCATCTCTGGAATGGATGCATTTGCCAGTAGATCACCCTCTCAGAATGCACCTGTCGGGTGTGCACAACATGTCAGCAGACAGCCTCAACAGACATTTCTCCAGGACTTGATTTCTCCAGGAGTATGGAGCATCTTTCATTAGTGCAGAATTCCATCTTGGAACCTCTTTGTGTATCAAGGGTTCAAGAACTCAGGGCCATGACTCCAGAGGGGGGACATTTTAAGTTCAGGGGTCAGGAGAGGTGAGATAAACATTTGTGCCCATCTCTCTGTTCTGAGAGTGATCAAACAAAACAAGTGTTGATCCTGATTGCTCGCAGGTGCCCCAGGGAATTTTGGTTCTTGAGCATTCTCCATGTGTCTGTGCATCCATATTCAGTTCTTTCAGACATACTGACTCAGGAAAGAGGAAGATCTGATACCGCAGTCCACTGTTCTTCCATATAACAGGGTGACATTTTAATGGATGATAGGAATTTCACTAGAAGAGTCATGCTTGGAGCTATAGGTTGAACCTCCAAAATTGGGACTCTCTGGGTCAGCAACATCCGTGGTCCAGTAAGAACAAACCAGCCCAGAAGAACAAACCAGCTGGGAGCCCTGGCCAGGCAGGGCAGCCAGCAGCAAAAGTAGGGCAGCCAACAAGCCCTGTCCCTAGGGATCCCAGCATAGCACAGCAGAGACAGGCGGCCGGCAAACCCTGTTCTGGAGATCCCCAGCAGAGCTCAGCAGAAGCAGGACAGCCAGCAAGCCCTGTCCTTGGGGATTCCCAGGAAGGTGCGGGAGAAATGGGGCCATGGCAGCTGGGGAACTTCATCCCAGGGAGCCCCAGCAGACCAGAGCCCAAGTCCAAGCCCTGCAGGCTGGAGCCCAGTGTCAGTGGGGCTGGAGTGGAGCCAGGTAAAGGGAGGGGGAGCAGCCTGGGAGGCTGGTGTCAGGGGACACCCCTCTACTACGATTCGGCAGATTCCCTCATTTGGGACAGGTCAGCTCCCAAGGGTGCCAGACAAGGGAGGTCCAACCTGTACTGCAATCCATCATTAACAATAGCAGGAACATTTTCACGAGGAAATGCAGAATGGAAAGGATTTTCTATCTTGTGCCAGCATCGTTTGATAAACTCAGAGGGATGCTATGATCCCTATGGTCTTGACTGCCTGTTCTTTCTAAAAACATAAGGACTATCAGCTGCCAAGTGCACACACAAGGCTCTCTTAGCACCTTCCACTCTATGCTGGGACAGCCATTTGACCTTTGCCAATCCTATTGCAGTATGGATTTCATCTCTTACTGAAAGCTATCCTGACCTAACACTAGTCCTGTTTGGTATTAATGAAGGCGCCCTTTGAAGTCTTAACCTTATAGTCCTTTGCCCAAGCTTGCCTTTCTTGAAGCCATCCAATCTTCCAGACGAGTAGGAAACTGGAGACCATTATTCCTGCTTCACCGGATACTGTCTTCCATATGGACAACATTTCCCTGAGCTTATACCTCAAATTCATCTCCAAACTAATTTCATCTGAATCAGGTCATTCACTTCTCTGTCTTCCATCGAAAGCTGCACACCGCCAATAAGCACAAAGAAAATACATTCTCTAGATGTCCAACAAGTTATGGCATTTTACTCGAAGAGGACAAAATCTTTCAGAAAATCTCTTAAGTTGTCATCTTTGCACCATACATGAGAGGAAGTGATCTCCTCACAGAGACTTTCCAAATGGATTTTGTGCTGCATCCTGCTTTCTTATGATCTAACGGTTAGCCCCTCCTTCACAAGATGTGAGAACTCACTTGACCAAAAACCAGGCTGCATCAGTAGCTTTACTTCAAGATGTCCCTCTTCTGGAAATATGTAGAGCAGCAATATCGGGCCTTGTTCCCGTTTTTGCAAAGAATTATTCCCTTGTACAATCTTCTACAGCAGATACTTAGTTTGGTAGTCCTCTAGTAGGTAATCTAGGTAATCAAGCACCATCCTCAATGCTTTGTCACCTCAAGTGACAAGTGGAATACACGTGTGAATCATCACTCAAAGAAGAGAGGTTAGTTACCTTGTATAGTAACTAAAATTCTTCAAGAGGAGTATCCCTATCTCTATTCTATTATCTACCATCCTTCCCCTCTGCTGCACAGCCTTATCTTCCTAGGGGGCTGTATTGTGATAGAAAAACAACTAGGAAAGGTGGTATGCACTCAGTTTGGAGCCCACATGTATGGACCAAAATAAACTGCTGGAACAGGGGGTAGGCAATAATTTAAAAAAGGGGGCCACTTCATAAACTTCTGAAGTGTCCCCAGGCCACTCTGGAAGGGGTAGAGCCTCGGGTGGAAGGGGTGTGGCCAGGAGACTTCTCGTGTTCCCTGGCCACAGACCCTAATTGGCCTGTGGGTGGGGGAGTGCATGAAATCTTTGCCCCCCACCTCCAATGCCTTGAGAGAATAACCAGCTGTTTTAAAACAGCTGCTGATTCCCTCTAGGCACGGCAGTGGAAGGAGACTTTGTGCTCTGCCCGTGCCCCCAGGCCAATCTGGGTCTGTAGGCTAGAGAGAACCACAGGCTGTTTTAAAAAAGCTGGCGGTTCCCTCTGCTGACGCACACCCCTGGGAGACTTTTCACACTCCCTTGTCCCTGGGTCTCGATTGGCCTGAGGGTGGGGTAGTGGCAGGGTGGCTACAGGCCAGATCCACTGGCTTGGCGGGCCAGATGTGGCCTGCGGAGACTGGCTTGCCCACTCCGTGGTACAAGAAATATCTGGTTTTAAACTCACGTAGTGCTTGCATGTCCCTCAAGTGAAATACAGATAGGGATCATACAGGTAACTCCTGTTACTGTACAGGTATATAAACTTTCTTTTGAGAAGATTAAGAAATTAACACTTGTAAAGTGCTACATAAATCCTAAAATTCCCCTGAATGTACCGAACCCTTCTAGTTCTTCAACCATTGTAGCCCTATTACTTTGACTGCTGTCCCATAGAAAACTTTGTCAAGCACTTGCAGCAATGCCTGGATCCCAACTGTCAAGACTGTTTCCCACTCTGGCACTGCAAGTGCAGAAGGTGGGGGCCCACGAGAGACCTTAAAATACCTTGTCCCAAAAGGCATTTGCTATCAAACTCCCCAAGGTCACAGATTCTCTGACCTTACATGGTACATTGCCACCACCCAAATGCAAACCCCCCCTGAAAGCCAGAAAGATGCACTTGGGAATTTCGTCCTGAAAGTAACCCCAAGCTCTTTAATCCTCTCTGAGGAGTGATCTTAAAAGAAACTGTGATCTCTAAATAGCTGACCTACAGTCTTAGGCACATGCACAGATGTCCTGCCTTCTAGGATACAAGAATCAGATCATAGTCTTAAAGAGGACTTATGTCTTCTGGATCTCATGTCTTCCATCTCTCTCCCAACTTCCTATTTTGAACTCATACACAAAAGAGACTGGGTCAGGCAAAACCTATTTCGTTTCAGACTTCTCACTCTCTTACTTTCGGCTCTCCTACCAACACTTTCTGGATACCCACTGTTCGGGGTTTAACCCAGTGCAGGATATTTAGTTACTGAATGTTGGGCTGTCTAGAAAAGGGTAGTACGCCTCCTATCTGTCACACCAACAAAGGAAATAGGACTCCACTTCTCTAACAGGAGACCAGATAAGATGTAAAAATCATACATATTCACATTTTATATAAACATGGGTGTGCTCAGCAGTATTTGTGCATCTCAGTTTGAATATATCATAAAGAACCATCTGAATTCTCCACCTCAAAATTAGTCCAGCCATTCAGGTAGGGCAGTGGTTTTCAAAGTGCGGTCCATGGATGCCTCCCAGGTAGTCTGCGATGGAAGCTCTCTTCTCCCTCCCTCCTTCCCCCCCATGCAACTGGGAGCCCATGCTGCCACGGTAGCCTCACAGTTGGCGCACAGCTGTGAGGCTTAGCACCAGATCCAACCAGCAGGCAGAGAGGTGAAGAAAGCAAACTCACACACACCCCCATGCGCGGCCTGTGGAGCTACAGGTGGAGTGCCACCGCCATGGTAAGAGTGGCACATTCTTCGGTTGGTCCCCTCCTCCCCTGAGCCACCTTGACCCCAGCCCTATTCCCAGGGGCATCCTTCCCCCATCTCCATTGGAGGCCACCTCAGTGAAGGTTGGGGGGGTTTTGGAGAAGGTATTTGCTTTTCATTTGTGTGATTTTTTTTTTTCTGTGGGTCAGTGACCCCTGATGCAAGAAAGGTTCTCCACACCTGCCATAAATAAAGAAAACATTGAAACCTTTTGTGTTGGACATAAATTAATAATTTATTTTATTTAAAATGAAGTTTGATACACTAACATGAGAAAGTTAAAGCACTTAATTTGTTTAATAATTTTAATTAAACCAGTTTCCATTAGCAACTGGTGGTCCACGGAAAGATTTACATTGAGCCAGGAGATCCATGGCCCAAAAAGTTTGAGAATCATTGACACAGGGGAATGATCATTGGCATTCTTTGGATGCATGGCAGAAATAAGTGGATGGGGGAGAGCCACTATACACGCTTAGAAAATAAAGGGAATAAATTGAGACAAGAATGTGAAAGATTGAAAGGAAGGATTGGAATGCAAAGTAAAAGGAGGAAATAACTGTCAACAAGAAAGAGACAATGGATAAGGAGAAATCCTCAAAATCCAAAAGAAATAATTGACAATACCCTCTAGATAATAAAAATTGCCAGCAGCTTGCCCTAGATGTTCAAGTTATTTCGATAACACTGCACTTTTAGCTGGCTAAATCTGTTTTCCATTTTCTGTCTATGTCAAGGCAGGCCCACCTTTGCGAAGGGAAGGGGGCAGTTGCCCTAGTGATTCAAAAGGGTCCAGGGCTCCCAGCCACCACTACTGCAGTAGCAGTCTGAGTTCTGGGCCCTTTAAATTGATTCCACAGCCCCGTATGGCACACTGTGGCTATGTCTACACTCGCGGCTTCTTCTGCGAGAAATATGCAAATGAGCAGGGCTTGACAAACCTTGGTGAGAGCTACTCACCAGCCCTGGACCGCACATGCGCCAGACTGGCACTGCGCATGCGCACAGCACCGGTGAATGGGGCGCACGGAGCGACCGGCTGAAATCTACTCTCTAGGGGCGAGTAGAATCAGCCTGTTTGTTGAGCCCTGCAAATGGGGCTAAACATGGAATATTGCTGAGCCTCATTTGCATATCTAATGAGCCTCCATTTTTGCAGAAGAGCTGTCTACGCTGCCCCTTCTTGTGCAAGAAAAACCCTCTTGCACAATGCCGCTATGTTGATTATTTTCAGGAATAACGGCATTGTGCAAGAGGGTTTTATTTGCGCAAGAAGGGGCAGTGTAGACAGCTCCTTCTGGTGCAAGAGCCTCGTCTGCAAAAATGGCGGCTCATTAGGTATACAAATGAGGCTCGGTGATATTCCACGCTTATCCTCATTTGCATATTTCTCATGCAAGAAGCTGCAAGTATAGACCTAGCTTGTGGGTGGCATTGAGGGCTAGCTGTCTCCAGCCATGTTCCTTCCATCTGAGGACCTGTCCCTTCTGGGAGGCCCCTCACACCTTGTTCAGGGATCTGCCAATTCTGTTGGCCCCATGTCAAGAGAATAGATTTACTGAGAATTGTAAAACTAATTGTATCATGTAGCACTGATTTCAAAGAGAACATGAACATAAATGTACATTGTACCATTGTGTACCTGGTGATAGATCAGTCATTAATTCACAAGAGAGTATACAAGAAGGTGTTATTGATCTATTGATGTAATTCTGATATGCTCTACTTTTGCACTCTGAAATCTCATTTTTTGGGGTTACATAATACAGATACTGCAAAAAGGAAAATTTACAGCTAATATCAGGGTGGACTGATTTAAAATCACCAGTTGGAATCACAATCTGAATCAGTAAGCAAATCATCTTGATTTAAGGTACCTATTTTAATCCTGTTTTCCTTTTGTACTTTTTAAATTTATTTTCCTAAAGAAAGGTTGTATGTCATTGATTGGTAACCATTAAAACTTGTTGATTTACAACTAAATACAGCCTTTGTGCTAAATTTGAAATTTATTTTGTCTTACCAGAAAGACACTGCTTACGTGCACATTTATTTAAGCTCAGTGTACTTATTCAGAGTCTTAATTTTCACATTTTTATTCTGTTAGAAAATGGTGAATTTCACTTTTTTTTTTTAAACCAGATGACTCTACTTTTTTTGTGCCAACCTGCATTTGGATGTAAATTGGAATTCAATTAAAATGCACAAAAATAGCACTTTCAAATAATTGTATTTAAATTAAAACAATATTAAATGTTTTGGTTGCATAAAAAGCCCTATGTGGATCAAAGCATGTTATGCATTACAACTAAATGGTTTTTTAATAAAGTACTATCTGTAGTTAATGAATTAAACTGATTGTTTCTGGTCACTATGCCCTTCAAGATTTATGAACTACTACATCTTATCTTCTTGGCCTTGTTTTTATGAATAGATTGGAAGAGAAAACAAGCTTTCCTGTTTCTTAACTTTGAATGAACTAATTATTGAAATGATCAAATTGAATAGACTGAAGAAATAGTCTCTCTGCACCTGCTAAAGAGTCTATTGCTGTTAAAGGAAGTTTAGTATTTACTGTATGTGCTTAGTCAGTAACTTGTCCCTATTCTGTGATTTGACTTTCTTTAAAACTTCAGCAGCAAAACTTTTTAAAATTTAATTTAAATGAGCTTAATTATAGTAAGTTTAGCTCTCCAGGCGGGGTATCACAATTTCAAATATGGCTTTAAAGAATTTATGTTAAAAGGAAAGTAAATTTAAAGAAAAAATACATTAATTTTTTAAAAATCATTGATTTTTTTTTTATCCACCCTGGCTAATATGCTTTGTGATTCAAGGAGACAGATTTGTTAAAAGTCTCCAGGCAATGATAAAAGGGGTAAATACAAAGGGTGATGTCATGTTGGGGGTCTATTACAGATCAGCTAAACAGGAAAAGGTGATGGATGAAGTTTTTTTTTTTTTTTTTTTAAACTAACAAAATCATCCAAAGCACAGGACTTAGCGGTGAAGTATGACTTCAATAACTTGGACATCTGTTGGAAAAATAACACAGCAGAGTAAATAACTTGTCAGATTATTCAACAAGTTTTTAGAATGTACTGGAGATAATTTTTTATTTCAGAAGGCGGAAGACGCTACTGGGGGAATGAATATTCTAGATTTGATTTTGACAAACGGAAGAACTGGTTGAAAATTTGAAAGTGGAGGGCAGTTTGAATGAGAGTGATCATGAAATGGTAAAGTTCATGATGTTAAGGAATGGTCGGGGGCGCACAGTAAAATAAAGACAGTGGATTTCAGGAAGGCGGATTTCAGTAGACTCAGGGAGTTGATAGGTAAAATCCCCTGGGAAGCCTGTCTAAGAGGAAAAACAATTGAAGACAGCTGATAGCTCTTCAAAGATACATTATTAAGGGCACAAGTACAAACTATCCTATTGCATAGTAAAACTAGGAAGTATGATAAGAGACCATCCTGATTTAACCAGGAGATCTTCAATGACTGAAAAATGAAAAAAGACTCCTTCAAAAAGTGGAAACTAGGTCAATGACAAAGGATAAATGTAAACAAATAACACAATATGTAGAGATAAAATTAAAATGGGTTTGAACCGGGGTATTTAAAAGACCGTCTCCCCTATACTGTACAAACCTCCCCTGGGATTGATGTCAGCCTGGGAGACTCTACTCCATGTTCCTCCAGTTATGCAGATAGGGTTGACCTCTTCGCGAAGCAGAGCCTTCTCAGCCTTTGCCCTTAGGCTATGGAATTCTCTCCCTGGGGACATTTGCTTAATGCCAATGTTGGCATTGTTTTGGTGCCAGACCAAGGCTACCCTTTTTACTTGTGCTTTTATTGGTGTTTAGTTGTGTGTTTGTCCCTCCTCTTGTGGCTTTTTAGCATTTCTCCCCCCCCCCCCCCCCTCTTTGGGGTCCTATATTTTACTTTATTTACTGTGTTTTTAAAAATTTTGTAAGCCGCATTGAATATTTGAAATAGAGAATCGAGGTAAAAATATTTTAAAATAACTAAATAAATAAAACAAAAAGGCCAAGGCACAAAATGAGCTCAAACTAGCTAGAGACACAAGAAAACATACCACAAATACATTAAAAGCAAGAGGAAGACCAAGGACAGCTTACCGGTTACTTCACTGGGAGAGGGAAGAGCAACAATAGAAAATGTGGAAATGGCAGAGGTGCTTAATGACTTCTTTGTTTTGTTTTTTCAGAAGATTGGAAAAACAAATATAATGACTATTTAAGAAAAGGGAAATAAGAACAACCCAAAGAATTGCAGACCAGTCAGTTTAAATTCTGTGTCCACATAATGGAGAAATAGGGTTGCCAGATGTCCGGTTTTGAACCGAACAGTCCGGTATTTGAGCTTTCTGCCCGGGAAACAAATTGAGAAAATACCGGACATATACATTTTCTAATTAAGTTTTATTACTATCATATGTATCAGTATGTAGTTGCATACTGCCTGGCTGGTAGACATGCTCACACTGTGTGAGCGTATCTACCAGCGAGGCAGTACACAACTACCCAGTAGAGAGGAGGGGAGGGGGGATGGAATCCCCAGGGCCTGACTCGCCCGTGCACCCTGCCAGGACCATGCGCAGGACAGGCAGCACTCCAGGATCTGCATGCACCCAGGCCAGTCCCGCTCCCAGCCAGCCCCTCCCCCGTCTGAGATCAAGTGTGTCCAGTATTTTTTTGAAATCATCTGGTAATCCTATGGAGAAAATAATAAAGTAATCAGTATGCAAACATTTAGAATATAATAATGTGATAAACAGCTTGGATTTATCAAGAACAAATCATGTCAAACCTACCTGATAGCTTTCATTGACATGGGAACAAACCTTGTGGATAGAAGGAAAGTGCTGGAATATACATCTTGGCTGTGTCTAGACTGGCTAGTTTTTCCGGAAAATCAGCCGCTTTTCTGGAAAAACTTGCCAGCTGTCTACACTGGCCGCTTGAATTTCCACAAAAGCACTAACTTCCTACTGTAAGAAATCAGTGCTTTTTGCGGAAATTCTATGCTGCTCCCGTTGCGCAAAAGGGCTAGTGTAGACAGCTAAAATTTGTTTTCCGCAAAAAAGCCCCGACCGTGAAAATGGTGATCAGGGCTTTTTTGCGGAAAAGCGCTTCTAGATTGGCCCCGGACGCTTTTCTGCAAAAAGTGCTTTTGCGGAAAAGCGTCCGTGCCAATCTAGATGCTCTGTTCCGAAAATGCTTTTAATGGAAAACTTTTCCGTTAAAAGCATTTCCGGAAAATCATGCCAGTCTAGACGTAGCCATTGATTTTGATACTGTCTTGGATGACTTTCTCGTAAACAAACTAGGGAAATACAGCCTAGATGGAGCTATTATAAGGTGGGTTCATAATTATTTGGAAAACTATTTCCAGAAAATAATTATTAATGGTTCATAGTCATGCTGGAAGGGCATAATGAGTGGGATCCCACATGGATTAGTTTTGGGTCCAGTTCTCTTCAACATTTTCATCAGTGATTTAGATAATGGCATAGAGAGTATACTTATACTGCAGATGGGAGGGCTTGCAAGTACTTTGGAGGATAGAATATAATTCAAAATGATCTGGGCAAACTGGAAGAATAGCCTGAGGTAAACAGGAAGAAATTCAATAAGGACACATGCAAAGTACTCCACTTATGAAGGACAATCAGTTGAACACATACAAAATCGGAAATGACTGCATAGGAAGGAATATTGTGGAAGGAAGTCTGAGTGTCATAATGGACCAGAAGCTAAATGTGAGATGACAGTCTAGGGCACTGGACTGCAGTGCAGGGGCTGTATTGTGACCTAGGACAGGAAGGGATTGTGACCTGGGGTTGCAGGGGTTTGGGTTGGGTCTTATCTGTCAGGGAGGTTAAACAATGGAGTAAATTGCCAAGGGGGGTGTGTGTTGTGGAATCTCCATCACTGGAGGTATTTAAGAATAGGTTAGACAGACACCTGTCAGGGATGATCTAGACAGTGCTTGGTCCTGCAGTGAGGGCAGGGAACTGGACTCGATGACCTCTCCAGGTCCCTTCCAGTTCTAGTATTCTGTGATTCCGTGTTCTATGGACAGGAATGAATGATAATCCCATACTGCTTCCCCGTGTCTACAAAATGATATGACAAGTTAAAGCTTGCCACATGCTCTGCACTGAAGATGGTTTAGTAGTAATTTGGTACAATTTTATTGCATGTATGTGACAGGGTTGCTAGATATCTCTGTATGATAAATGTGCTGCCATCATAATTTAGCAAAAAAAGGGGTATGGATTCAGTGTTTCACTGTTGGTGCTTAGAGTATCATAAAGAGGTGTGAACAAGGAGAAACATGCTATATAATGGTGTGAAGAATAAGGGAGATAACTGTTGTTAATTTTTAAAGGGTCTCTCTCTCTGGGGTTTGGTGGTTATGTTGTTGCCTGATGGGTAACAAAGATTTAAATTGGCCTTTGTTAGCTTTGGTCTGCAGGACATCCAGCCTGAAACAGGGTTCTGTTTTGAGAAAATTACAGGCATGGACCTGGTGCTCATGGAGAGAGCGAGTGAGGGGCTCAAAGGTGCAGCTCACCTTGGAATTGTAACAGACTGGTAAAGTCAAATCAGTTATTTCTTCATGAGAACAAGTAAGAGGTCAGGATGAAGGTGCAGCATTTGTGCAAAGCAAAGGATTTTGGTGTGGGCTGTGTGGTTTGTTAGTTGTTGAAAGAACAGATGGATTTGCTGTGGTAGTGAGGAGTCTGAGTCCCTTTGGGTAGTGTGAGATTTCCATATTAAGGCATGTGTTGATGGTGTTTTGTTGATTTATTCAGTAATTTTGCTTGTGGGATTTGATTTT